ATGAAGTGTGACGGAAACCGAGTTGGTGATGAATAAGTCGATTTATGAAACTATATGAGGAGAGAAGAGATCTCTAGCTACAACTAACAGGTACTTATAATGACTGTTCTGTTGCGTGTATCTACTAACTGATGGCTTTCCTCCAGACATCATACTCGCTAACTAGCCACTTATCGTTGGGTGTTACTTCGTTGTAACAGCGATCTAGCGTCCTGATTAGTATTATCGTTTCGTCTAGTTCCATCTTTCCCTCCCCGTGCGACCTTATTGTAAACAATCTAAGTATTACGCTTAGGTATCCACCTAAGCTCATACAACGGTCAAACCGTGACATGAAGTTTATAACATATAGTCCTAACAAACACATGGGTCGCATATTTAAATCAAGAATAGCTCGAGAAACCAAGGGTGAAGCAACTGATTCACCATACGAAAAATCAAGACTTGTAATACAAAGGTATAACGACGAAGGTAAGGCTACAATTCTCTACTAGGCTCCAACGATTCAACGTTCAAGCCAACGAACTATGTTTGCAGTTGCTCCATCACTGTGCGCTTTGGGCATTCATCTTTGGTTAAGGGATATTACATATGCGTATGTGCAAGCTAAAACTCACCTTTATCCCACAATATTAGCACATATCCCAAGAGAACTTGAAATAAGATTCCCTCCGCAAACAATTATGCATCTTGTAAAACCACTCTATGGAATATCAGAAGTCGGGCTGCATTGGTGGATGACGTATTTTAAACACCACACAAACAAATTGCTTATGGAAACGTCGACTTATGACCCATGTCTCTTAACCACTAACAGCAAGGAGTATATTGGTGTTGTTGGAATGCAGACGGATGGTACGTTGATTTTGGCCGATATGAAGTTCTCTGAGAGTGAGGAAAATCAACGAGCCAAACCAAAAGAAAGATTAACTCCTGACAAGAATATTATCTTCAATGGCTGTATATTAAGCCATAACCGTAGAAATTTTCTAGTTTGTCAGAAAGAACAAGCCAAGAAAATTGTTTGAGTAGTCCTAAATTTGATGGACAATTCTAGAATTTATGTTGTGTAAAGAGTTCGTGGCGCTTACATAGCCTCTATATGTCAATCTGAAGCAACTTTTGATAAGTCAAGAGCAGTCCAATATCAAAGTTCTGGAAAGGAAGAAATTGAGGCATTAAATAAACGTCTAGACTGGCAAAAGAAAAATTTAGACCGTGGATTAATCTACGTTCCATTAGAACTAAACAGCGCGAAGTTGCACATTTTTATCAACAGATCGTTTGCAAACAACAAAGATTTAAGCTCAAAGATTGGAACTATCATAATTTTACCAAGGAGACTTCAACAATGAACTATGAATTCGTTATCAAAGGTAATTTCATCCACTAGTTTTCTGTCAAGGCCAAGAGGGTTACCAAAAGCGTTTTAGCACCTAAAATCCTTGCAATGAGTAGCTGTATTGATATTGCTCATGTCATGTTAAGCACGCTACAAAAGATTAAAACCCAGATTAAGATTGCCAGAATTCCAGTGGTTGTGTGTATTGATTCTTACTCCCTCTACGAATATATCCTCAAGCTTGGCAGCACCAAAGAGAAGCGACTCATAATCGACATCATGACTCTTTGACAATCCCATGAGCGTCGAGAGATTATGGAAATTAAATGGAGAAGATAATCCTTAATACGCAATGACTAAAAATGCACTCACTACTATTATTGATACCAATTGCCCCAGGATACGTGTTGAGGGATGGGTGAAGAGAACTTATGAGAACCTTTGATTATCTGCATGAAGATGTTGGCCTATCACGAAACTTTCATTTTGATAAATTTATTTCCTTAAGTTCGATCTTCGATTTTTGATTTGGCAACAAATATGAAGTTATTCTAAAAAGAGAAAATCTGCCAGTGTTTGAAGTATATCTGTAGAGCTGGCCTAATCACGTGTAATTCTGGTATTAATTATGTAATCATATTGATACAGCATCGCCATATCCTTAGATGAAAAGAATGGACATCATTCACATTTACCGACACTAGACCCCCTTTGATTAGATCCAATCATTACCTATGATACCAACAGCTTCTTTATCAACGGTGCCTGCAGTACTCAGCCATCGGGATGAAATGTTGGGATGATGAAAGCGAGAGGGAGCTGAGTTCTTCCACGCTCGACATGGAAACAAAGCTGATCGTGACTGGTTTCTCATATTGGTGTGGGATAAGCTCTGTCATAGACTTTAGTGAATTGAGCTAAAGAGAACTGAGCTCGACTTATTCGGCCTACAGACAACTTTCAAGTAAAGAAAGCCACTAGCTCCTGAGCTTATTAGATATAACTGAGCAACAAGCTAGTTGGCTAGTTCATGATTTAAACAAGTGAAATAGGAGGGTCCGGCACGCCGGACTATCAGCTTAACTCCCAGCCCAACAGATAATCCGATCGACATATAAGAGGATAAAGCTGCCCGCTAACGGGAGAGAAACTCCGCATGCCTTGAAAAATAGTAAAGGTATTTCCAAATTGACAAGAACTTGCGGAAGGGAAATGGACAAGGGGGAGGCAGAAAGAAGCTGGAAAGATAGCGGTCTTTCAGGAGTGGAAGGATTCATGGACAAGCTAGAACAAGAAACAGCGCCCTAGCCGACCAGCATCAGCCGATCCAGAACATTTGAAAGAGGCAAATATACTTACTGATGAACAAACAGGCAGCACCAAAATTGTTAGAAATACAGTTTCTTGCTTTTCTTTCTATCGACCAATGTGGTCGCATCTATCTTGCCTGAACTATATTTCTGAGTTCATGCAGGAGCCCATACTTCTGATCCAATCAGATTCAGTATTTGAGTCAGCATGGATCCCATTCTTCCCGAACAAATCTATTAATTGGTTAGTTCGTATCAACTGTTGCAAGACTCAGTATTCTGAGTTAATGGATAATCCTTTTCTAGTATTGGATCCCAATCATTTCTACAGTTAAGTCGGTTCCGGATAACCTTTCATCCTTGTAATTCCACTATATATATCATAACAACTGTAGTCCATTAGTCAATCAAGCAAACTGAACTTCTTCTCCGTTCTAAGGCAATTCTTACTCCGAAGTTCTCTCCATGCTCTAACAGATTATGAAACCAAGTTAGCTCAACATTGGACTTAATACTTCTTTCTCCGCCTAACTGCTTCAATTTCTCCATCTTCCACTCACCTCTACCACACAATCTGAATCTTCTACATCCAAGATGGCTTCAACCAAATCAGAAAATCGGTTCGATCCCTTCCTACTCTCAACAAGTCTACTTACACTCGCTGGGTTAGCTTATTCCGAATGATTCTTGCCCATTCCAAAAGGTACTTTTGATGACGCTTATCTGTTTGGAAGTGATTCTTCAACATTTATATCATCTCTTCGTAGGTAAACTTTCGAGGGAAAATGATTGATTCATTTGGAGTCAGATTACTGTAATAAAATTCACTGGCTTTTCCCAAAACATGACTTCAAAGACTTTTTGCTTTTGAGCAGGATGGATACCCATAATGTAACACATCTCATCAAAGATTCCGAGTTTTAAGTCAAGGGGATCATATTTATCTTCAGTGTATCTTTTACTATCATCGTAAATTTTCTTCTATCCAAAATCACTCTTGCTCAGCCTCCTAAATTATTGGAAGCAAGATATGATTCATTACTCTTATCAAAAGTTTGACGGTTATTATTTCCTGTAGCAGGTTTTTTTGATCATATTTATCGACGCCTTTCCCCTTGAAATTAAGGTTCTCTTGCTTTACAACCGGAAAGGAAGGATTCACAGTTTGAAGGTACGAATCAAAATCTTTTGACTCTCTCATTTGTTTTTCGAGCTCGCCTTCGAGTCATTCTGGTATAACATCCGCTATGAAAAGATTTGCTAAGTATACTGAAATATGACTCCTGCTCTTTGGGGTTAAAATACCACGATCGTTGAGAAAATCTCGAAACTTCCGTCTTATTCTATAGTCTGCAAGTGCAAAATTTTCTTTCGTCCATCGAAGTCATCTTGAAAGTTTTCCAAGAGTCTATTATCTGTCAGTCTTTCCACTTGGTAGAAAAGCTTTTGAAACACTATAACACCACTAATCCGTTCTTAGGTTTCATCATTTACATCTTCGAGATTAAGTCGTCAATGAAATGAAGATTCATCCACTCTGCCTTTATACTGGTCTGGAAGGAGCATCAATCGATGTTAATTTATTTCGATGGCGAAATATTGTTTTCGCAAAATAAGAAGTTGGTGGTCTTAATATTTATGACCTATATTTTCTTTTTGAAATTAGGTAGATCGGAGACTGTAACTTAAGTGTCTCTTGTAAAGGTTTTTATTCTGCGTGATAAACACAGCTTGTAGAGGTCAGTTGTCGGCGACTTACAGCAGAAAGTGATTCTCGCAAGCTCTTGGATGCTTTGATTTGATCCCTGGAAAATAAGATTCAACCTACGGTGGCAATCCAAACCGACTTCCTCTAGCAGGAAAGTAGTGATATGCGGCACAATGAACGGTAAGGATTTCACGCCTCTTGTCTCTTGTGAAATAGCCTAGCTGCTCTTTGGCTAACTGTGAGGTTAGCCCTGATCAATATTGGTATCACAGGTAACGATTGGATCAAATCAAAGGGGGTCTAATGTCGGTGTACGTCAATGATGTCCATTCTTTATCATTGAGTAGATGGCGATTCTGTATCTATATGATTACATAATTAACATTAGAATTACACGTGATTACGCCAGTTCTACAGACATACTCCAAACAGAAGCAGTGACTCGTAGAATCCTAAAACCCTCTACATCTAATAGATACACCTTAGATGCATACCCTGAAATTAAGCGCGGATCGAATTACGCTCACGTAACACCTGAACACATTGATTTCTTCAAAGCAATATTAGGCAAGGATGGAGCAGCTATCGATGACGTGACAATAGATGCCGAGAATGACCTTGACCCTTCAATTTAGACTGGATGCGCAAATATAGAGGTCGTATGAAGCTTGTGCTCAAACCATGCTCGACAGATGAGGTGTCTTTTTTTTGGATCAGATTTTAATTGCGTATTTAGCAATCTAGCTATAACACCATATCGGATAAAAAGAACAGACAAGATAATTCAATATATAAGTAGAGCACTCATGCCTCGGATTTCATTTGCAAGCACCACTGCGAAGCTATGGTGGCTTTTTCCTCACCCCAAGTCAAAGATGAGGTATCGAAGATACTGAAATACTGTAACGATAAGATGTTGGCGGTGGTGCCGCAGGGCGGCAACTCGGGCCTAGTCGGTGGCTCAGTCCCTATTTTTGACAAAATTGTCATCAATATGAGTCGTATGAACGTCATTCGCGATTTTTACGAGGTCTTGGGTGCTCTCGTGGTCGATGCAGGCTGTATTCTCGAAGTAGCTGACGCTTATCTTAAGGAGAGAAGCTATATTTTCCCTCTAGACCTCGGCACAAAGGGCTCATGCCAAATTGGGGGAAACGTTGCGACAAATGCCGGAGGTCTTCGGCTCATAAGATACGGTAGTCTTCATGGAAGTGTTCTAGGAATCGAAGCAGTATTACCTGACGGAACAATCATGAATGACTTATCGAAATTGCGAAAAAATAATACCGGGTATGATCTAAAACAACTGTTTATCGGCGCAGAAGGCACGATAGGCATAATAACAGGGATCTCGGTTCAATGTGTCCAACGATCAAGCGCCAAAAATGTGGCATTTTTCGGTCTCGAGTCTTATGAGAAGGTGCAAGAAGCATTTGTTCTTGCCAAGAAACAACTTTCTGAAATTCTCTCTGCATTTGAGCTCATGGATGGGCATTCGCAAAAGATAGTGAGCCAAGTGACTCAAAATAAACGACCCTTAGATGACAAGTATCCATTCTATTGCTTCATCGAAACTAGTGGATTTAATCCAGAACATGATCAAGAGAAGCTCGAAAACTTTTTGGAGAGTGTTTTGGATAAAGAAATTGCACAAGACGGGGTATTGGCTCAGGACGAGACTCAAATGATGGCGTTGTGGGGCTGGCGTGAAGGAATTCCTGAGTCCTTAGGACACTGGGGAGCCGTCTACAAGTATGATTTATCTATTCCTACATGTGATCTCTATGCTTTGGTAGATGATGTTCGGCATCGTATAAACTCCGCTGGGTTACTAGGCGATTCTGACGCGTATCCGGCTGTTTATATTTACATCTAATTTGAGTCTACGACTATTAAACATCCGGCTGTTAGTGTAGTTGGTTATGGACATATGGGTGATTCAAATCTACATTTGAATATTGCTGCTCGAAGTTTCGAGAAACAACTAGACAGAGTCTTGGAACTCTCTGTTTATGAGTGGGTTGGAAAGCGTAATGGCAGCATTAGTGCTGAGCATGGGTTGGGCCTGTCGAAAAAGAACATTATCGGTTACAGTCGAGATGACACTATGATTCAACTGATGAAACAGATTAAAAACTCACATGAGCTGGTAACTATCAATTTCCAACATGTTGATCATCACTGATAAGAGCAGCACGGTATTTTGAATCCCTATTAGCATATGTGATGGAACTGATTATTTCAATTGTCATATCTTGTTAGAATCTATTATACCTTTGAATTCGATTTTGATTTCACGTTACCTTGCAACTCCGATTACTAGATTGGCATCTTCGCCTGGTCTATACCCAAAGAGTTGGAGTGAGCCTTACGAGCACCAATATCGAATTCGACCAGACGTCGAACATAAAGAGTAAGGCATATAGTTGTTTTACCTCTTCCATGATCGCTGTATCTTGGTCATGATGGTCTTATAACAAATATTCGCTTAGTCTAATAACCTTGAAGTGCAGCACGTTTCTACTTGAGGATAAACTATGTAAGCGCTTAAAAATGCGTACGGAAGAACTTCGGTACCTAATCAAGAATGGCTCACAAGTGTAATGGTGCGGGATAATTCAATGGTGATAGGACCTCGAGACAAAGAAAGTAGGCTTTAAGATAAGCAGACAGAGACTTAAATTTTAAAAATTATAGAAGAGTTTTCTAGCCCACAAGGCAGAAAGCTATTAAATGTAAGGTATTAATTCATTCGTTGTTCTAGCTTAACGTCCTATTTGCCTTCTATCTACAGATCCATGAACACGGTTATCCGCTTTGGGAAGGGAAAAAGCTTTCAACAAAACAAAACCCGACATCCTGCCACCCTGAACCGACCCGGCTTAATGCTGAGGACATTCCTTTCAAGCACAATTTTACAAACTTTCCCTAGAATTCGTTAACTCCTCCTTCAATCAGACTAACGTTTTGAAAAATTGAGAATAGAAGGCGCCTCCTCACTCAGCGTTGGTCGTCCCGGCCCTCTTTTAAGCCCTTCAGCCTTTTTACTGGTGTCCAAAGTAAATCCCTGATCATCAGTTGGTCTGACTGTTTATGTTGGCGCCACCATAGGTTTTTCATTCCATATTTCCGCCGTTCTCGATAGCAGCTTCATCCGAGCCTTCTTCACACTTCCCTTGTAGACCTGGTAGGTCCGACACGCTGCTTTCTGCCACGAGCGGATCTCCTTGCCGCTGTTTGCACAAAACCCCTTTTTTCGGACAGTGCCGAGTTTGGTGAGCGCCAGCGCACTCACCGCACCTAGCTGCCTTTCTACACGACGCCTGCGTGTGTCCCCACTGACGGCAGTTATAACAATGCTTTGGCTAGGATCATGGTGGCAACACCTGCGCGGTGTAGAGCATGGCGTTCATAACAAGGCTGTTTCGGACCACTTCCGTCTGTATTGCCTCCGATTGGAGGCTTACCACTATTGATCCACGAGTGTGGCCATTCTTCTTTGACCGCTAGTGTTCCTTTCCGTCGTGTAACCACCTTAAACGATTAATGACTAAGCCTGGAATCCTTGCCCTCGTAACCGTCTCTACCTCCCTGATGATGGCAAAATTGTTGGCATCTCTGCCCCCTTGAATTCGTGTCCACAATAGGACACAGTTGACCTCGACTGGAAAATCTTGCCGCAGAATTTTGAATTTCGTTGGTTGTCGCATATTTAGCGCCGCGTCTCTCTTGGACGTCGAAAGTACAAATATCTCGGTATCGTTTCTCCGAATTTGACGAATTGCGTATGCACCTTGTATGTGCTCTTTTGCCTTTGAAAGCAGCACTTGTGGCTGCAAGTTTTGAGCGCCGTCGGTTCTTATTCGTATCGCTGTTTTTGTCATTTGGGGAGCCACGACCGACGCGTAACTCCTTGGTGTCGTCGCACCTGAAACCACTGCTGGAGCAGCTTTCCGAGCGGGATTCACGAGGTTTTTCTTTACGACTTCCACTAAAGCCATCATCCTCTCCACGACAGGAGACTTCGTCCGGGACATTTCCGTCCAGGCCCTTTTGTGCTCGTTGAAGGCCTTCACGGCCTCGTTCACGTCCTCCATTGAGGGTAGGTCCTCCTCATCCATCTCTCCCATCACGATTAGTCTAACTTGTTTTCGTAATTGCCCCAGGATTTCGAGTTTTCTTTCCTTTGGAGCTGTCTACGCTCCGCTGCCGTTGTTGGTTGAGGCCATTGTCGCATTTTGAGACGCGTCGAAGCCGCTGGATTTACCCACACCAGCACCCACACTCGCCATGTTGGACCACGGAAAGCGAGTAGATAAGAGGAGAGTGATGAAGATTAAATAATGATGATTACGATAAAAAATTGAAGATACAAGCAGTGTGGAGCGCTGCGCAGCTTTCCGGCAAAAATGATGTTTTCAGATATAAAGGATTGTTTGTGAGTAAAGCATCTTTCGAGGCTGTGCTAACATTTCGACGTGACTGAGGCGTGACTACACCTCAGCGAAAACAATTGATTTTGCATTCAAATTTGCTGGCAAAGACGGATTCCTCACCTTTCAGTGGTGTCAGTGTAACCTCCCAGTATGCCCTGCATATCTAGGATAACCAAGAAGAATCGCATCCGAATCCAAGTCGAAAGCAACCTCAAGCACATATCTAACTGACGACTTGTCGAATATTCCCCTCTTACCATACTCATCTGAGTCCTCAACCTCTCTCTAACCACACATCTCACCACGAAGACCAATAATAAAGTTGCTCCAATTGCATACAGGAGCTTGCCCCATTAATTTCCAGCCATCTCTCACTACATATTTACGACGCTATTTATACCTGCAAGGAGGAAATCAAGTCAAAATATACAAAGTTGGGTTCTGGCTTGTGGGGGAATGTTGCTCTAATGGGACAAACGACTTGAGGGAGAACAAGTGGTTGATATGTGGAGCGAGAGGAGGTAAAGGTGTGAGACGATCATGCCGGGACTGATATTTTTGAGGGGTATTCAACTTTAGAATATTTGTGGGTGCCGAGACCGAGATTCCGGCTAATTAGCCAGGACTTCTTTTGTCGATGAGTTAACACACTGGACGGCACAAAAGAAGTTGGGGAAGCTACCATACAGCAATCACGCTCTGTCAAGACTTTTTTGACATTTTAGCACGACCTTCGGGAAGTAGTTGGAAGGAGGCTAGAAAGGCAGAGTGTGAATTCTTCGAGGTACCCACAAGTCTGCAGCGCCCAGCTGGCCGGCCTCTCCGAACGCTTTAGAAGGGACACTATGTCTTCGGGTCTAGTCCTAATTTCGGTATTGGAAGAGCTCCGCACCCAGTGGATTTTGCGATTTTTCCCAGCTGCCCTACACCCGCAAATGGCCATCGTTTCGTTGGCTGGAGAGGGAAGATAATGAAGAGCTAAGGGCTCCTCTTAGTGTATGATCGAATGAGGACTTGTGAGGGGTGGTACTGTTTGAGGGGAGCTGTATGGGAGGCATAGGAGGAGATATACTACTGATATAGGTATCCATGGCCTGTAGGTAGAGAGGACCTGCATGTCCTACATAGTCATAGACTCAGACATGACAATAAAATGAATTAATAATAATAATAACAACCCAGAGCTGCAAAGCTGCAAACTTATTTAACGACAAAAAACAGGTAGACTTATAATGAACTACAGAGAGTCACCTATCCAAATACACCAAAACCTTAGCAGGGCCCAAAGCAGCATTGCCACACAAGTAAGAAGCGAGCACATTGGGCTCAATGCTTACTTATACAGAAGGAATGTGCCAGGAGTAGGAAAACCATGCTGCCAATGTGGATATCCGTCCCAAAATATAAAGCACATGGTGATGTCTTGTCCAAGGTGGGCAAAGGGAAGAGGTGAGCTGCTACGAAAATCGACAACTCGATCTTTCGAAGCTATGGTAAATAATGTCAAATATATGACTAGAATTTCACAAAGGATTCAAAAGGAAGAATGGCTAGAGCAGCTTCGGATGACGGGGGAAATCGAGGCGTTAATCAGGCGAAGAGAGGAAAATGGATACACAGGACAAGGACGGAATCCACACTGGCAACAACAGTGTGAGTGCACTTCCTAGAGGTAAGACTATAATCGCGTAGAGTCAAGTCAGACAGCTGAGGGGGTTTTTACTGCAAGGTCTCCTCCTATGTAAATATTAGAGTTCGTAGACACCTGCATGAGCTCATAGGGCGCCAAATCGGGTTAAATGAAATCAAATCCAAAATTCAAAATAATGGATTTTACAGTTTTTGTCGTCGTACTGTTTAGATTCTAGGCTAAAGCTCTGGGTTCACTTTGGGTACGGGGCCAGTCGACTCGGCGGAGATCGCTGCTTTTTTTTTTTTTTTGCATCAGATTTTAATTGCGTATGCAGCTATCTAGCTATGACACAATATCAGAGAAAAGTACAGAAAAGATGACTCAATTTGCAAGAGGAGCACTCATGCCTCGGATTTCATTTGCAAGTACCACTGCGAAGTTATGGCGGCTTTTTCTTCACCCCAAATCAACCCTCATCCGTGAATACCCACCCAGAGGAACATCTCAAATACCCTGAGTTATCCAGACATGCCTCCATCATCCATCAACCTTTCTCCGCGGGAAATGTGATCTGAGGTGTCTGCTTCCCAAGTGGAGTAGGTGCCCAGGCTACTCAAACTATACTAGAGAACATCACCAGGAGGCGGATCGCAACACCTTCCATCGTCGGCTTGTTTTTATAGTGTCAGCTGCACTCTCGCAAGCGAAGTCTTGGCGCGCAAAAAGCTCAATCCGTAAAACTCCTTGCCAAAATTCGGAATTTCACGCCCTTCGACGTTGTATCCTTCCTTTGCATCATTTTTTCAACTTGTCCTGATCCCTCTCACGTCCATCCCAAAGAGCTATCTCCCAGATTTGTGCGCCACGCTTTGCTTCCTCCGTCGGGTACAAATATCGGCGTGGGCGTGTATTTGTTGACCGGCTGAGGCCAGAGAAAGTCGACGAGAGGTGTGGTCATTGAAACAAGGATGTACTATGTCGTACTTGTAGACTTGATGAGGCTTAGATAGGATTCGATCTTTTTTGGAATGAAAATTTGATGTGGTGGAGTTATTTGAATCATTGCGTTGTGGGCCAACTTGTTCGGTATTGCGAAATTTGACTGAACTTGGCTCTGGGAGAATATTTCACTCCCAGGTTCGTAGAGAGCACCACTGACAGGTGTTCAGTCTTGCCCTCCGGATCGCTGCTTGTAGGCCTAATTCATTCCAACTGCGTGAACTTCGACAAAAGGATAATTTTTCAGTAAAACTGAAATCAAAAGCTAAATCAAAATTATAACAACCATGCTGGTGCGGATTCCACGCTCCTCTTTCGTTCTTTTTTCTGCCACATCTTCCAGGTAACGCTGTCTGACATCAGCTGAAGGCAAAGATGAGTTTTGATTTTGATTTTGATTTTGATTTTGATTTTGATTTTGATTTTGATTTTGATTTTGATTTTGATTTTGATTTTGATTTTGATTTTGATTTTGATTTTGATTTTGATTTTGATTTTGATTTTGATTTTGATTTTGATTTTGATTTTGCTGTGCTGTGCTGTGCTGTGCTGTGCTGTGTTGCTCAGTTTTTCGGGCTTGACCTTGTTCAGAGGTCAGCCACAATACAGATGTAAGTGCATGGACCGTCTAGCTTCAAGACGTAGGTTCTCGCAGTAAATGTCTTATCCAAACCGATAAATGAGGGCTCATCAGTTACTAAAATACATGTTGGCAATTTTGATCCATTCTTTTTACAGAGACCGGCATAACTGAGTCTCACAAGCTGGTAACATTATCCGTCGACCTAGCCCAGCATGTTTACAAGATCCGATATCTCCCTTGGTTCTATTCTCACCTGCAGAGCCAGTGCCTTTTATTTTAAATATCAATTTGATTTTGATTTTATTTAACCCGATGAGGCACCCTATTGTCCATGCAGGTGACTGTCTTCAATATTTACAAAGGAGGAAACCAAACTGGTGAAAACCCCCTGATCCAGCCTATTAATATTACTATCAATTTATTTAGTTTACCTTCAGGAAGTGCAGTGTAGATTATTTAGCCAGCGTGGATCCCATCTTCTCTCCTTCCAAATCGACTTGTGATAACCGACATAGCTACCTCGGCTTCCCCTGCAAATCGAAACTATTTTATCCACCCTTTACTTAGTATTCACTGTGTGATTCTAGCCACATCTTCTAGGCTATTCATCATTGCTTCAAATGACCTATCTATAGCTTATCGGAGAAAGTCGCCCCTTAAATTTGCCCACTGCGGACACGCCAATACCATGTGCTTGAAGTTTTGTTTTAGTATTAATGCTCCTTACCTTTTGTGTGTTTATGTTGGCCACAACATGGAATACGAGCTTCACGTGGCTCACTGAGAGCAAACCCTTGATGTAAAATCTAGATGAAATACAAAAACCGTCGACGATTATTCAACTGTATTTTACACTCTTATATTGGTGCACGATTGCATCATAGACTGCGACAATTTGGATATTTTTGTTAGGCCTGGTAAACATTGCGGACGGCTAATAATTCACCGCTAGGAAAGTTTGAGAAAGTGAGGTCAATGGGCTCGAGCGGGCACGGTTGTCAACGCTACACCTGTCCATCTCAAAATATGCCCTGTGGCAATGGTGAAACGGACTAAACTTTATAAATCTCGTGGCACAAAGCAACTTCCTGGCTTAGAGTCCGATGATAAGAATCTCAAGATCTTCATGGCCATGATTCGGGCCGTGATATCTCTTCGCCAACCAGACATTGGCGCAAGCAGAAATGGTCTGAAAACAGGCATCAAGCTTGATCGATGCTGGCGAAGATGGATTCCCACTGTCCCAAGATGCCTCATGACAGCAATTTTGGCACGCATTCGGATCAGCGACTCCTTCAAGATACTTCATTGATGGCGGGCTTGGTAGAGTAGGGCTCTTTGAGAGATGGGATTTTGTCAGCCCTGTAAGTAGTGGACGACCGATAGATTTCACTAACCCAGTCTGGCTTTGGCAGAAGCACTTCACTAGCTTTGACCTTAAGCCTCTGAGACAAAGGGTTCCGCTAGCATCCAACGTCCGCCGTAATGCCCCTCAGGATCGACTGTGGCAACCGAGGCCCCATCTCGTTTCTCCTGTCAAAGTCACGTGTGGATTCAAGGATGTAGCATCCGACAATTGACTGGTCCGGGTCGAGTTTGGCTTCCCTGAACAATCCAAGTTCAGCGAAAGAGGACTAGCTCGGACTTATGAGCGAATGGCGGCCGGCATCGGCGTAGTCAAGGGGACCAAAGGCATCAAGGACTGCATGAAGCTGCATCACACGGCCATCGTAGGATCCACAGGGCGCATAGAACAAAATAACATCAATGCATGTCGGCTGCTAACCGCCAATGTCACGGTGTCAATTCCAGTCTAGATTCTCGCGTGTCTGAGAGTCACTTGCGCACTTTGGGGATAGATTTCCTTGCCATGCTGGCTGGCTGGTTTATCACTGGAGGGCTGGACAGCACAATGACATACACATCTCTATATGTGCGCTGCGGTCTAAGTCACAATTAACTCCACTACCATCCACTCATAATCGCATACTTTCGCTGAATCACGGACTTTCAAGACAAGCTCAGTCACTATACCTTGTCCCCTAATCGTGTGATGATCAGTCGAGTTGACCGAGGAAATATAGACAGAGTAGATGGTGATGATTGATTAAGACTAGGTGGGTAGGTAAATGGGTATTTCTACAGGTAGTAGAGTCCCTAATTATGATATGACTACGAATTGTTGTGCAGTTCTCGGTGCTGTCAGATTTGATTAGAATAGAGATCCATCAAGCCTACGGCGTTCAGGGCGTGTTTAAGACCTCAGATGAACCTCTTTGACAGTAAAATTGAAGAAAGTTTATTTCAATGTTCTCACCTGGCTTTATTTCTCTCTTTTCATGAGGTTGTGAGTGGGTTTTTTGTGCTACTTGAGCCATAGACTATCTAGCATATTGAGCTCCTCTCGGAACCAGACCACACCTTTTACAGTGCTCCTATCCTCTTTTGTTACTCGAAATATTGTTGATTTACCGCCCATGATGAATTGCAATTCAGCTGAGTGTTTACCCGTGGAATTCGGCCACCTTTTCCACGGAACCTTCTTCCCAAAAAAAATGGTAGCAATGGAAACTACGTGCGCGGGAAAAAGTCTCAAAAAACCTGCCGCCCTAGCCAGGCGAGGCCTAGACACCGGGACCACATGAGGTGTGCATATTCATCTATATCTCCCTTCTTTGTAACATTCACGGCCGACTTGATCCAATCTACCACCTCTGTATCGGGTTCTGGGTACGCTCCGGAAACTCATCGGATGGCTTCTCCTCCATGATCAAGGGTGGGTGATGATAAGGGCTTCGACACTAGCATCTGATCTAATCGTGGCCATATTCATGATAGTGGTGAAAGGGGTATGTGTTGAGAGATGAAGACGATATAGACCGCGAAAGCGATAGGAATCCTCGTCGAAGTGAGGACGGAGATTTTACTCAATCTCGGCCCTGTAGACTGTACAGTGAGATCGGAAGTTTCGTAAGGGACACCACTGATAGATAATGAGAAAATTCCCCCTCTTTCCCAAGGTAGAAAAGGCTTAACTGGGATTTCCAGTGCGCGGCGGTAAATAGGAATTCCCAAATCACATTTAGTCGGAACATTCAGAAGCTGAGCTCTAACAAGCAGGGATCACCAAAAACACTGTCCTGGGAGATCGAATCCACATCAACATTCATGAAATGATCCATGTGGTCGGTTCGCGTTTTCTAAGTTGGAGCTGTCGTTGCTATTCTAAACACCATATGACCCTAGCCCTAAATAGGATCGCGCTAATTAGGTCGGACTTGTCAAACCCCGACAGGGGTGCTAGCAGCCAAGTTAATGGGATACTAATTTCCATCATCCCTTCAAGTGGGAATCCACATTGAATCCATTACCACTTTTTCTCTCCACCAGCCGGTTATTGAAATCCTGCCACCATCACTAATCACTATACGCTACATCTAATCCTTCATGACTACATGACGATCAAGTGCGGTCCACCTTCTTGGTTATATCTATTTTTGTCACTTTCAGGTCCTCATTCGTTTGTTGACAGTCCAAACATTCGCCGGCAAGAAACGCGTTCAGGCTGTCTCCTTAGATTGGCCCAAAAATTGTCTCCATCCTCACCCCACTCACGCCCAAAGAAATCTTTTAGAAGACACAGAGCACGTCTAACCCAGAAAATCGGCTGTTTCTTGCCACGGCCCAGGCTACTATTTGGGTATTCAATGGCTCCAAGTCAAAGCCGCGTCTCCCTCGATTGCGTCTCGGTACAATCTTTACTCAAGATAGGAGATACCAGTCCGCCCCTTACTTTTTTTACCTCTCATACGGCAACTGCAACTGTACCTACATCATTAACATCGTCCATAGCTTATCCAAACTCGAATCCCTCTCATGTCATGCCCAATCACCCGAGGCCGAAGCGCATGTCTCTCAGTTTTCCCGTCGCTCTGAATATTCCAGATCACGAATCCACTGATACTACTTCGCCACTCGTGGCAACACAGACATTTGCCTCAGTAGCTACCGAGACTGTACTTTCACCCGCCGACCCAAATAGCTTTTTGGTCGCTCTAGCAGGCCAAGAAAGAAGGGTACTTGAATTAAGAGAAGAGCTCAATAAAGCCGAGGAAGACCTAAGAATTTTGAAGCAGAAGTGGAAATCTTACGAAGCGCAACGAAAAAGAGGACAGGAGTCTAATATTGAACTGTTACCGTCTTCATCTATTCCTAGGTCTGCGAGAGGTCATGATTCAGACTTCGGCGTGGTAAATCGAAGGCACATAGAGGCCGACCGTCGTAAAGCACTCATTGAGACTCTCAACATTCCAAAGGAGTCACGTAGAACATTCTCTGGTGCCCACACTCGAACTTTATCCCTTCTATCGCCTGAGAGATCCAACTTTAACCAACTGTCACCAATTGCATCTGCACTAGAGAAAAAATCAAGTGAACATACCTCGTTACACCGTAGAAATACGACTGTGTCTAGCTCGAGCCAGGTTAGCCCTGAAATATATTCAACTCTATCAAGAAATTCTTGTCACTCAAATAACGTAGCTAGTGGCACAAAACATTTGGTCGAAATGGCCGAAGATGTTAAACGAGGATTTAAGTCTGGGATGCTGACATTCTGGGAAGATCTTCGTCAAGCCACGGTCGGGGATGAGGGTGTTAATGGAACTGCATCTACCTATTACACCCACGCTGATTCTAATCCACGAGACCTTCGCAAAAGTCGTCGAGCTGGTACACTCAACACTGATAATAGTAAGCGAGGCTCACCATCAAATAATATAATGCCTCAGACTCCAGAATTAGCAACTAGCGACGCTAGGCCCCTTTCTAACACGAATCTGCCTGTTTCATACCGTGAGATGAAGGCTCCTACCGGATCTAAACGACCAAAGCCTGTCTCAGTGGTGGCGCCTATCATCGATGAGCTTGACGATCCTTGGTCTATTTGGGATTCGCCACATAATAATTCTCCACGATGGAGCGGCAGTACATCAATGTCGAGTCCAGCTACACCTCCAGATAGTGGCTGTCTCGATAGAGATTTAAAGTACAGCATGACCCCTTCGCTTATAAGTAATAGGCTAACACTACTAGAATAGTTGGCCGGTCCTCTGAAGACTCTGTTGCTTCCCAGAGACGTGATCACATTCCGTGGCATGGCTTCGAAAAACTGTCACCTGCTAATCTTAAGGGAAATTTGCAAAAGACTATGCTGACCTTCATGAAAGACTGGGAGACTAATGCTATGCCTTCCCCAGAAACTCGTAACGATCCAACTTCTACACATTCAATGCGGGCCAGAGTTCAGTCCTCTGATTCCGAGCACATAAGTACTCAGGAAGATGTCATACTAATGTCCCGATAACCTTCACAATGTGGCCTCTGAATGGTAGATGAGATATACTACGTGGATGATGACGATTTAATGAATAATATAAATGTAATTATCTATGTCTTTTGGCAAATTCTAAACACACTGCGACTGAGGCACTCAAATATCACACTACACCTTGATCCTTCCTACACCAACTTTATTCCTCTCCCATGTGACTCTGCGGAGAACTAAAAAACTTCGTAAGACATAGATCTCCCTCTTGCCGACTCCATTTAGCAGTAGGTGTTCAATCAAAATACGTAAAAGATGTTTCTTCCAACCATTACACTTAATTCGTAAGTTGAGACGAAATGAGTCGTAAAAAATGCACGTGACTCTACAATAAAATCCGGCAGAGTTCATGCAACGCACATATCCTGTGGCTGGTCAGCTTTTAGGTTCGAGTTTCAGAATCTATACGGACTTAAGTTTGTGCCTCTCAGGTCATCACGTTCGTCTCATCTCGCATGAGCGCAAGGTCTACGAGCTCGCATGTCACAAGATCGACTTATGAATGACTTAGTGCTAGATCATGCATGAAAAATTTTACATTCACAAATTCGATTGGAGGTCACAGCGACCTCTTTATTTGCAGAGGTATGATGTGATGGCGCAAAATATGATATAATTTTTCTTTTTATATAATCATCATATTTCTTACAAGAACTGACTGCCATGCAGCGGCCCGAATACCAAGGCGCTCTATACATACACGAGATTTTTATCAGCGCCAAGATGACGGTTTGGATGAGAGGCCCGAGCTTGACCACCCTTGAACTAGGGGCACGAGCTGCCACCTGGTATTGTACCTGTGCATAGATTACCAGCGCCACCCCTGGTCATCTTGACAGAAGGGAGTGTGATAGCCGTTAGGTTAAATGATAGCACCCTCGCATGGGAAGATTATCATGGATCATTGGAAGGCGGATGGCAAACTATTAAATATTTGTCACTTCTCAATCTATGACTTTGCAAATCTCATTTTTGATAGACCTTGCATAACTCTGTTCTTTTCTTATGTCGAGTAATCAATTTCTGGCCTTCAAATCCTCCAATCTTCCATTACAGCCATTCGGCTCTATACGACCCAAGCCTCGCCCAATGGCATCCGGCGTCTTGCGATCCATTTGGCCTCTGGCTCAACCACTCGTCTCGACCGGAGTATATATAATAGACCTATCCGTCGTATCTTCTACCCTTCCGGAGACAAAAGTTTCTTCCACAGTCTAAATTTACTTGAGATAAAATGGGAAATTTTCTCATTATCTATCAGTGGTGTCCCTTACGAAACTTCCGATCTCACTGTACAGTCTACAGGGCCGAGATTGAGTAAAATCTCCGTCCTCACTTCGACGAGGATTCCTATCGCTTTCGCGGTCTATATCGTCTTCATCTCTCAACACATACCCCTTTCACCACTATCATGAATATGGCCACGATTAGATCAGATGCTAGTGTCGAAGCCCTTATCATCACCCACCCTTGATCATGGAGGAGAAGCCATCCGATGAGTTTCCGGAGCGTACCCAGAACCCGATACAGAGGTGGTAGATTGGATCAAGTCGGCCGTGAATGTTACAAAGAAGGGAGATATAGATGAATATGCACACCTCATGTGGTCCCGGTGTCTAGGCCTCGCCTGGCTAGGGCGGCAGGTTTTTTGAGACTTTTTCCCGCGCACGTAGTTTCCATTGCTACCATTTTTTTTGGGAAGAAGGTTCCGTGGAAAAGGTGGCCGAATTCCACGGGTAAACACTCAGCTGAATTGCAATTCATCATGGGCGGTAAATCAACAATATTTCGAGTAACAAAAGAGGATAGGAGCACTGTAAAAGGTGTGGTCTGGTTCCGAGAGGAGCTCAATATGCTAGATAGTCTATGGCTCAAGTAGCACAAAAAACACTACGGTGAGCTACTTGTCAGTGGTGTCCTCTACGAACCTGGGAGTGATATTTTCTCCCAGACCCGAGATTCAGTCACGAAAAAGGGTAGGACGAATTTGTCTTTGATGAGTTTTCAACTTGAAGGAGTTGCGCTCGATTTTTTGGTCGAAAAATCAGTCGGCAGAGATTTCACAGCCGGAATAACGTCGAACAAAAAATCATCAGCACCAACATACGATTCACGGATGGACCTAGGTCTGTCTGGGGGTCGTATTCATGCATCCGACATCCCTCAAACTCCTTTTATAATTGCGACGAAGTATTTCTCAGTTGATTCTTCACCTGCGACCCACCCCCATACTCGGCACATTACCTATCTATACACGCCCTGATGAGGAAAGCCATGATGAAAACGGGACGTGTACAAAGGAGAAAGATAAGGGAAGATACACCGAGGGGATTACACAAATCCCCAATGACGAAAACAACCCAACGGTATGATATGAAGGTGCAAGGCTAGAGTAACGATGAGATCTTGGACAGCATTTATGTTTCGGAGTCAATGAGGATGTCAAGGGCTCGGGTGCGTGGTGGCCGAGGTCGAGAAGAAATTTGCGCTTCGGCGCGTCAAAAGAGGGTTCTCTGGACGGTTAGGCTTGGTATGATTCAACACATAGATGAATCTGTCCTACATAGTTGTAAACTCAAATAGGACATAAATTGATTTAAAAAAAAACACATAGGTGAAGTCTGAGGTGGCCCGGTCACTCAAGTGGGACGAGGTTTATCTGTACCGTGGTGCCACGATTTCAAGTTTTCAGTGGATTTATATGGGGCGCATATTCGCTAACAGGGGTTACACCCCTGTTAGCGCCAATTTAAACAGGGTACATAATATTTGTCCTGTATTTCCAGGCCTAAACCGAGGGCACAATTTGATTTCATGTCACTCTCAGTTTTATGCAAATCGAACCCGCTCTTTAGTTCTTTCCCATTGCTTTGATGAGCGCCGACCGCTAAAAAATTATACAGCTCTTCTCACCTTGTGCTTGAACATAGATGCATTTTGGCATGGTTCTGGTCATTTAGATGGGACGAGGCATTTGTACTGAACGTTAGTTAACCTGATCCGGCCCGACCTCACTCGTGCTCAAGCTTCAGTAGGAGTGCGACGGTAGTCACTTCACCTAGCACGTTAATGAACAAAAAATGCACAATTCGAGAAATTCGAAAATTCATTTTTTCCCTCTTTCCTCCCTTCCCGACCTCGTCGCATCCATCTCTGAATTGTGATCGAGCTCAGGCATTTTTACCATGCCTCCAGTTAGCAAATAGCGTCCCAACGCCAAGTTGGACAACATGAGAGTCCACCCGAGGGCTCTCTAACAATTACCTGGCCTTGTCCAGTCTCCGAAATGCGCGGATATGAGCAAGGTCTCCATCAAAGAGAAGGAAAAAGCCCTCCCCGCCGCCGCTGAACCCGATACTTACATGATCGGGTCAATTGAAACTGTTGAGGAAATTCCTCAAATTCCCTCCGTCCCCCACGGGACTGGAGAATCGTCAAAATCTCCTCCGACCGCATCAAAACCGTCGGAAAACGCTGCACCTATATCAGCGCCAAAATCAACGTCGCAGCCAAAAGCTGCGTCGAAAGCACAATGCCCTCCTGAGCTCCGACCAATAGTCGAAGCCGAACAACGACGCGCCGCCGAAACAGCGGCAAATCTGGCCCTCTGCTCCGCCGCCATCTCTGGCGTCAAAGCCACCCTTCTTCCTTTGACCAACGGGTCAAACAGACAATTCGTAGACTCGATGAGAGTCTACCTACGCGCCGCCATTGCGCAATACATGGCCACGGGATCGGCCACTACGCCACCCGTCCTCCCTCCTCGCCCGGCTAACCCTCCCCCAAGGGCTCCCGACGCCAGGAGCATACATATTCCCGCTGTCCCAGTGCTGCCTGTAAAAAGAACCTGGGCTACGGTGGCCAGAAACGGACTGCGACAGAAAGCAGTCACAACTGTAAAGGCTGTGCCGAAACCTGCGGCAAAGGCCCCAAAGAAAGAAGCTCCCAAGGCGAAAGTCGAAAAACGACTATTCCTTCGCCTAGAAAAGGAGCACCCGTGGCGTCAGCTTACGCCAGCTGGCCTACGGCAACAACTACAGAGTGAGCTGAATTGCTTCTTGAGTGACGCCTGCTCCATATACCGTGTTAGAACCGGCTTTGCGATTCTGACAGGTAATGAAAATAAAAGGGAAGAGCTCCTAGATGCCGCACCAAAGTTTTCGGACTTCGGCGCCAAGCTCGAGGAAGTCTCCAACTTTGTCGCCTTTCGGATCGCGAATGTTCCGGCGACCATAAAAACAATCGACTGTACTTATACGGTCAATGCGGATTGGATCTCATTGGAGATCTACCGAAAAACACAAAAGCTTCCATACAAGGAGCTATCGCACGGGACATGCCGTCCTGGAGCGCCGTACAGAAATTGGAAAGCCCTTTTCGACCGGAACAACGCCCCTCGCCTGGGCTTCCGCATTCTCGAAGAGGCTGGTATGGCTACCATACACAAGCCACGACCACAAACTGAATAGTGCAAACGCTGTTTGGGCTTCCACGCCACCCGTGGTTGCTCCCGCGCTCCAGCCTGCTGGAACTGCGGCTCCAACATGCACTCAGAAGCCGAGTGCAAGGCCCTCACTAAGTGTCGTAACTGTGGGGGACCTCACCGATCGGATTCTCGGGCCTGCCAAGTCAGACCCAAAAAATCCGGACCAGTGACCTAAGAGCAGCTCGCGTGGATCCACCACATAGAACAATGTGAGTTCTCAGAAGTGGCACGAGCACGAGCAGGAGAAAAAAGGCCAAAGAGGCAATCATCGCCGCTGCGAAGGACGTCTCAATGGCCGAGGCTACAGGTTTCGGAGCTCTGGAAGCTGAAGAAGAAGTTTGAGGGCACAGCAACCTCGAAGATGTCCCCATTCGGGACATTTACTAACCAATAGCAGGATACCGGCTGAATCAAAGGTGCCTGCTAACCCATCTTTTACTCTCAGTGGAGAATGGACAAATTTGTCATCTGGGAGGTGTGACGGACGAGAGAA